ATTTAGTTTCTCTCACATTTCGCCCCCCCCCCTCCCTATTTTAGCCCACCTTTTCATCGTGCACACATCAAATTATAGGCCTATTATAAATACTTAAAATGATGATGAAATGCTTATTTTTTATATACATTTAAATATCCTGGTGTTTTGAACTGTGTTTACACTTCTGTATGCAGAGTCGATAGCAGAGGTTTCATTATGTAGCGCTTACACCCACATCTAGACAGACTGTGAATGTGTAAAAGTCAAGAGGTAAAGTGTCGAACAAGTTCCCACGAGAAAGCTACAGTCGTGTGCCTTGCTACCGGAAATGGTGGTTATTGTGGTTTGAGTTTTTGCGTAAAGCTCATTGTATCTGCATAGCGGACACAGTGACAACCTCAGAGTCACTGGTCTGGAATCAATGACTGTCGCAGTATCAGATAATAATCCTTAATACTGATATTACTATGAATGAAACTCCATTGGTAGATACTGTACTTTTATTTTGCGGTATATAATTCTGAGTGACTACAGTTCTTGACTGCAGCTTCACTTCTAATGATCTATTGACTCTTCCTTATTTGTGTTTCCGTTCTCCATGGAAAATTACGATCTGCCACTGAGACCCTGTGCATTATGGGAGGCTCTTGAAGATGTCTGTGATCCCGTTGGTAATAAGGCTGCTTGGCTTCAATCCACATCCTTCGTGAGAAAAAGCAACTTATTTGGATAGCAAAAATAAGCATGATTGACAAATAGTGGTTTATCAGTCTCACTTCTGTTATTTTTGTAATGTCATATGCACTTAGATACAAGTTTCATGTGAGCAGGTAGCACTTTAACAAATGAGCACATGAAATTTAAAAAGTAAAAAAATAACTATAATTGATTTTAAACATTTACCGTTATAAAACACAAAATGTACCTCTACTGTAGAAAGTGTGCATGAAGCTGCACATAAGAAAAATATTACTATATATTAATTTATTGTTACATCTAGAGATGTATAAATAACCATTAAATCTTATTTATGACTTTATATAGTCCTCATATGATAGGCTGGTATATAGAAAATCAATTCAGCTGTAAGCTGAGTCCAAATGTTGTTGTAAGAGAAGAAACCCATAACAATGTAAGACAAATGTTAAAATATTAGAGGAAACATAAAAAGGAGTAGAAAAATAAATGTTTACACTTAAACTGTATATTAATGGCGATGGCTCAAGCTTTAAAGCGATTTAATCTAATTGCAGAGAAAATGATGGTGTTTAAGAGTTTATATATGGCAAGGAGTTCATATAAATGTAAAGGAATTGCCTGGTTTACCCAGATTATTTCGATTAATAGCTAGAAAGATTTCTAGGAATCGCATTGAACTAGTTACATAACATTTACGTTTGACCCCAATCTAGCAACCGATTGCATCAGTGACATGATTTAGGTTATGAAACATCTATTGTCACACTGGAACAATTACTGGATACATATTGCTGACTTTGTATGGGAAATATTAAACAAAATAACTCACATTTTACCTCATCACATTGTAGACACTTCCTTTATGAAAGTGTGCCAATGTACTTGCAGTCAGACTGTATCTTGGACTAAAAATGATGATAACATTTCTATTCTTTTTCCAACACAATGCCTTCTTTTGTGATTGAAGCATAGCTGGAAGTATAAAAAAAACCCAAAACAATTGTCAATAGTCATAAAATTCACTCTTTTTTTTGTTTCATTGCTACAAGTGATTGCAATTCTTTGATTTCTGAAGAGAATATCTCTCTTATCTTATGTGGGTGTAGCATAGCTATAAAAGATCCGTATGAGAAATCATTATGCGTCCAGTTCCACACATCCAAATCCATTTTTCCTGAATTTTCTGTGGCAGCATGAGCATGCTGTTACCTTTCTGAGGCAATCGGCATATAAATAAATTTTTTTGTTTCATTGCTACAAGTGATTGCAATTCTTTGATTTCTGAAGAGAATATCTATCTCTCTTATCTTATGTGGGTGTAGCATAGCTATAAAAGATCCGTATGAGAAATCATTATGCGTCCAGTTCCACACATCCAAATCCATTTTTCCTGAATTTTCTGTGGCAGCATGAGCATGCTGTTACCTTTCTGAGGCAATCGGCATATAAATAAAAGGATTCCCATGACATCTTACTTGCATCTTTTACTCAGATTGTCCCATTGAATTCCCACCTTGATCCATGTATGAAAACCTAACGTTCATGTAGCCTGTATATTTTAGTTTTATCAATGCTCTGAGGTTCCCTCGTCTCCCTGAAGCGTTTGATAGGAAGTGTTTGCTTGTTCAGTGTTTAAATATTTATTCCTTTTATGGTCATTTGTATGTTTTGGCACTACAGATTTGTTTGTGGCCAACAGTATCATGGTCTTGTGGGATACAGAGGCCAGGATCGGAATGTTCCTGTAGCTTAATTGTTATGTCATTAAAAACAAGTTCATTTTCTGCATCTCCTGCTGATCCTTTTGGCTTACTTAACATTCTTGAACTCCCATAAGCCAGAGTAATTAATCATAAGGTGCAATGTAAATTTTCTGGTGTGAATTGCATTACAGAGGATTATCCTGCACCAATTTGATACAATTTAATCATCACTAATTTAATTCTAATTCTACTCATATAAGGCTCACTGACCTGGTCCATTATCCAGCCTATTATTGCAACAATAAAGCAAAAAAAAAAAAAAAACTTGCATTAAGTTAAGTGGAGGGTCATGGGAAGAATAAGATGAGAATTATTTGTAAATAGCACCATTTACGTTTTAATTTCTTTTAGATATAATGCAATCTTTCATATCTTTTAATGCTACAAAGAAATAATGGAATACAAATGCTTGTTACTTTAAGCCACCATCCTGAGAATAAACAATCAAAGACTCTCTCAAAGATATACGATAAAATTAGCTTAATATATTTTGTTAAGAAACACACAGAAACCCCAGAGTATCACGAGAAGGTCATACACATCACAAAATGTAATACAAAATCGAATAACCTTAAACTACCATATATATATTAGATATGCACTGTGAAAGAGAAAGCTACAGATTCATCTCTGTCTACTGTACGAGTACCAAGGCACTTCTGAACGCCAAATACAAACATTTTTACGTGTTACAGAGATCTACAGAGACCTCATCTAATGTAGACACAATAGATATGTTTGTATGAGAAAATAAAATGCAAATTTAGAGTTCAGTTTTCAAAGAAAGAAGATGGGAGTTATTTTAGGCAATGGTTAGTGTTAGATGGGCCTGAGAAGATGGCCAAGACATACCGCTACACTGGGGCTTTTCAGTTTGGTCTTCCATTTGCATCTTTTAAAATAAAGTGCTTTAGATGACAGAAACTATACATTTAATACAGCATTTGTCATGATTGTGAAAAGAATAGCGGAACAGATTACAATACCATGATCCGCACTCGCAAAAATGGTGATAAATGTATAATAAAATGTAAAAAGAAGACTGTTTTTGCGAGTGCGGATCATGGTTTCATATACTAAGTAATTTAATAGATTGACGCACCAAAATAAAAGATCAAGTGACGGAAGAGCGCGGTGCAAACGGCTTTGTGAAACAGATTACAATACTACAATTCTAAATGGGAAAACAGACATGTTTCTGAGCTACACAGTTTTTGTAATTGCACAAAAATTATAAATAGTATAAATAAAAAAAATAAATAAACAACATATCCCTTTAAAGTGGACGTGAAGCAGTCAATCAAGTTTACATTATTTAGTAAACTGATTTCCACTTTAATAAAAAAAATATATAATAAACACGATTAATGTATAAATTTAAAAGAATAAAGCAGTGGTTCCCAAACTGGGGGGCACGGCAAGGCTGAGGGATAGTTAGGGCCCTATGAAATCCGTTTTATTTTTTCCTAAATTCCGTTTGATTTTTTTCCAAATTCCGTTTTTTCCATTTTAATTTTTCTCGACTCCTTTTTAATAGTTAAACAAGATTTGTTGGCAAACAAAGGGGATTTACTATTAAAATTAAAACATGGAAGAAATGTTTTGTGTGATTATTCCTTAAAAAATAATGTTTGTTTCATTTTAGTAGTAGTAGTAGGCTATGAACATTCTACTGAAAAATAGTTATAGGCACAATGCCTTCAAATCAAACCGGATTTTTAATTTGACGGGTTGCCGTGAATACCTTTACAGTTCTGTGTATGTGATATGACGCTAGTTTTACTCAAATCAAACTCTAAAATGCTCATGAAGTGACTCTCAGAGCAGTTCTGGAGATGTTGTTCATGTGTTTACGTCCTCATTTAGTGAGACGGCAGATGCTGAAATCTCCGCGAGTGTCACGCGCGCTTCAGTGTGTGTATAGTAAATGAAACCGCGCGTCTGCGCCATTCAACAGAGACAGGCAGAACATGCAGGATTCATATTTAAATCGACTTTTGAGGCTTAATATTTACAGATACTAGTCCATATCGTGATTTGATTTAAGTGTAATGACCTACTTTTGATTAATTCATTCAAAATTTGACAAATTCCGTGACATTCAGCGTTAAACTGTGAATTCAGTTTTTATGACTGGATAAAGACTACACTGCGTAATTTTCCCGCTTATCATGCGGCCACTTGCCTGATGTAACATAAAATATCTTACATATTTTGCAGTGTAATGCAAATATATCTGAAAGGTCTGCGTGAGGATATAGTCACGTTCTCGCGAGACCAGTCAGATCTCGCGAGACACATCGGATCTCGCGAGATCTCGTGCCACGAGATCTCGTCACACCCCTATGCACTACTGTTCAAAAGTGTACGGTCAGTAAGATTTTTTAAAAGAAATTAATACTTTTATTTGACAAGGCCATATTAAGTTGAGCAAAATTGACGGAAAAGACTTCAATAATGTCATTTTCACTTTCTATTCATCAAAGAATCTTGAAATGTATCAAAAATATTAAGCGGAACAATGTTCTCAACAATATTAAGAAATGTTGCCTGTGTACCAAATCAGCGTATTAGAAAGGCTGGAGACTGACCTGTGTGTTTGTGTGGAGGCATCATGTGGTATTGTCTGTTACTGGGAGAGCTGAATGACTCTGGGAGATGCTGTTTGAGATCCTCTGAGCTTCCTTTGAGAGACTGACTGCAGCCGTGAGGAGCCACCAATCCACTTTGCATACATGGAAATGTATCTGTCAAAACGGAACAAAGGAGTGTGTAAATTTCAGTATAGAAAAACTAGAAAACAAGATGTTTAAGAGAGAGCTGATGTACCTGTTAGCACACTTGTGCTGAGAGACTTTCTGACAGAGAAGGCGCAGCTGTCGACGTTCATCGTCTTCATCCTTTTTTGCATTCCATCTGCAGACTTGTGAGGAGCTACCACCTGCTGAACACACATTGATTTAATATTCTGTCTTTGGTATCACTATTTGAACTTTACTCATTTCCATTAGACTACAGTGAGATCTGAAAGATTACCTTTGGAATATCAGTGAAAGAGCATGATGGACTGAATTCTGACAGCCTCTTCCGTTTGAAGTTGTTGATGAGAGCTATCTGACCCACACTCGTGCCTTTCTGTAAAGGGGCAAAGCTCTCAAAAAATCTGAAAATAGCAAGAAAAATTAAATCAATGAATGAATGTGACCCTACCATTCAAAAGTTTTGGGTCAGAACATTTTTTTCTTTTTGAAAGAAATTAATACTTTTATTCAGCAAGAATGCATTAAATTGATCAAACACAGACATTTATAATTTCCTGAAAAAATGACTTCTGAAAATTCAGGATTGCCATCACAGGAATAAATATATTTTAAAATAAGTTAAAATAGTAACTTTAAATTGTAAAAATATTTCACAATAATGTAATTTTAATAAAATAAATGCAGCCTTGGTGAAAATAACAAACTTTCAAAAATATTAAAAAATCTTGCCAACTCGAACCTTTTTAGTTTATGTAAAGGACAGCAATGCATTCAGCTTTCCCCCCCCCAAACTGGGGTCCATAATTTAGCAGAAAGTTCACATTTTCCAGATAATATTTTTTAATTTTTTTTGGCTTTAGTGCTATGAAAATATAAAAAATAATTTTTCCTCACATAGTGTAAATGATTCTTTATACATAAATATATATATAGCTGCTTTTATATTTGGTTGTCCTTGACATCAAAAAATGTGAAATTCTCTGTTCAGCTGCATCCTTGACCGCAGCTACAACATATTTGCAGACTTATTTGCAATTGGTGTTCTTTTTTTCAACTATTTGCATGCTAATTTGTAATAGGTCTAGACTTTTTTGCATATTTTCAGTCATTTATAGCTGTGTTTACACTGTAAGATGTCCTCAAACACAGATGCCAGAAAACAACATTACTAGTATTCTCATAATGAAAAGTGACTGTAGTATTTTACCTACACAAAAGGTTACACAATTCACTTTCTTGCAAAGATGATTTCCTTGTGTAAATCCTAATCTAGTTAATCACTGGTGCCCAGTTTATGTATTGCAATATAAAACACACTTGTAAGGTAATGATGAACTCTACTCACCTTTGCTGTGGTAGTGCAGTGGTGAAATTGCATGTTTGTCCTGGATCTGCTGTGCTTCGGTCATCCATGCATCTAATATCTGTACGCTCATACTGTGAGGGTGGGTCAGGGGGCCACTGAAGAATCTGTCCACCCTCCTTAGAGAAAAATGGGACGTTTGGTGTGGTATGGTAAGGCTGCACATGAGCCGTGTCCGGACATGTGTTAGTGCTGCTCTTGTTGTGAGGAAGGAATGGACCCAGGGGCTGGAAGAGGTCAGCTACACTGCTGAAGCTGTGCTGGAAGGCTGTGCTTAGGCCTGGACCTGCGTCAGACACCGGCTCCTCCAGGCAGATGGGGTGCAGCTGGAAGTCCTCACCATCCATTGGGATGTATGGAGCAAGAGTCTCCAGGTCCAGATCACTCAGGTCCAACTGAACACAGTTAGATAACCAAATAATTACTTAAAACATACAGTTGATGAGAAAAAAATATTGTAAAAATATATACAGTAGCAATATTTTTAGAACAAAAATGTAGATTATTATTATTATTATTTTTTAAATAATCCAGTCTGTATGCCCAGGATTGGGATGAAAGAGCTGAAAATGATCATTATACACTACCATTTAAAAGTCTGGGTTTGCTATGATTTTTTAATGTTTTTTTTAAAGAAGTCTCCCATGCTTAACAAGGCAGCTATTTTTGACAGCAACATTGTGAAATGTATCAACAACTGAAATAACTATTTTCTATTTTAATATATTTTAAAAAATAATTTATTCCTGTGATGGCAAAGCTATTTTTTCAGCCGATATTATGGAGTCTTTAGTGTAACATGATTCTAATGTGTCTAAATCATTCTTTTCATCAAAAGAAATGAAACAAAAAAAAAGGGAAATTGTGGTAGAATTGGAATATCATTTGATCTATTACAGATTAAATTGCTTGTAAGTATTGTACCACACTCACCCAGGAGTCTGTGGGATTTGTTGCTACAGATTCAAGGGCGAACAACTTCTCTATTAGCTCCACCTTCAGATCACACTCTCCATTGCCACAGTAATCTACTGGACTGCTAGGCTGCAGACATATACATTCAAACACATTAAACCACTTCAACACAATCATAATATTAAATAAATCTTAATTGCATCACTATTTAAAGAGGCCATACCAGGAGGAAACCAAAAAACAGAATTTGTTTGAATATATAAGTCTTAAAGGTACATTCAGAGAAAGCCATGTTGAAAAAACAGCATATGCTGGTTATGTATGTTTTGAAGCATGGCAGCTGGTTTAAGCTGGTCATGTGCTGGTCCTAAGCAACTAACTCATGCTCAGACCCAGCTTAAACCAGCTCATGACCAACTAAGGACCAGCTTAAACCAGGTCAAACCAGCTGCCATGCTTTAATTATAACATACCTAACCTGGTATGCTGTTTTTTTTCAACAGGGAGGTCATAAGTAACCATGAAAACTAAATGACTGCTTTTGACATAACTAGATGGATATGGGACGTACTGTAGAACAGCTGCTGCGGCTGCTCAAGCAGGGTGTGGAACAGGGCGTGCATTTGCCTGCAGGAGGCACCTGGGGTCTGGTGAAGGTGGACAGCATGTTGGGCAGTTTTCTATCAGGACTGCCATCAGGCGGCGTGTCCACAACCCACGACGGTGCCACCACAGGAAGCTTGGTGGACTTGGAGAAGAAAGTCGGTTCTTCAAAATCTGGCCTATCTGCAAATGCACGTCAATAACAAGTCAACACACTTGTGGGATAAAAATAACTGAAATGAGATGCAGTCTCATAGAATTACTACATAAAGAGCCAAGGTGGATCATCTAATAGTGGATAGACACACCTTAAACAACACAATGCACAAAAGTTTAATGCTCACTACTATCTGGCTCAAGTGAGAGTTCCCTTTCAGTCGGTCACTCTCGACGTCACGTCGGATGACCGACGAATTGGGATCTCGCTTAGAGAGACCAATCTACTTCGAGTGTAAACTAAACGAGCCAATGCACATTGGCATGCGATTATTGCATCTCGCAGTATCAGATAATGTTTGCAGTGTAGTTAAATAACGGTTTTACATCGTCCTGTTCCTCTTTTACAAATCTCAGCTGAAATCTTACACTTCTTTGGTATTCAGGTAGCAGCTGCACAAGGGTCTCCTCCAGGTCAGGCGGCTGTGAAAGAGCACAAGTCGGGTGTCAAAACCCCTTCGCAGTCTGAGAAATGTGGCCAACCGCTGCCATGCACGGAAAACCTCCTGTGACCACCAGTATAGCAGGTGCTCTGATTATTTAACCCCTATTTAAAATAAATAAATAAATAAAATAGTTCTCCTAGAACTGAAAATTTGCTAAAAATATTCAGCCTCAGGCCATCCAAGATGTAGATGAGTCTTTTTTTTTTTTATCTGAACAGATTTGGAGAAACGTAGCATTACATCACTTGCATTCACCAATGGATTCTCTGCAGTGAATGGATGCCGACGGAGTGAGAGGCCAAACGGCTGATAAAAAAAATCACAGTAGGCCTACTCCACAAGTAGCCTAATGTAAGTAATCCAAAACCTGTATGTTTATACTAAACAAATCTATCATTGAGTAGTTTTTAACTTCAAATGTGAGTCCTATATCCATATTGCTTTCTTCACTAAAAAGTTGTCTCGTCCAAATCTGGAGAGAAATATGCACAGATCAGGCACGCATGACGGCACCCATTCACTGCAGAAGATTAATTGGCAAGTGATGCTTAATTTCTGCAAATCTGTTTCAATGAAGAAACCAACATTTTGGATACAAAATAGATCTACGTTTTGGATGGCCTCAGGGTGAGTATATTTTCAGCAAATTTTCATTTGTGTGTGAGCTATTCCTTTAAGCTTTTAAAAGCCCTCAAATTAGATTTTTTTTTTTCTGTCCATCCACCAAACAAAATGTTTTAATATACAAGCTCACAGAATAGTGCACTCTGTACCCTGGAAAACAGATTTATTTAGATTCTTCCTCTATGGAAATCATCTACTGTTCAAAAGGTCATTGTGTCACTCCATCTTTACATAACGCAAAGCTATGATGATACTAATAATAATAAATCATAACTCAAGTATTGTCCTCTCACCAAACAGAACGCTGACAACAGGAAGACATAAAGTAAGCACTCTTATGCAATGTTAAATAAACAAACACTGCTGATTTCATTATTGTGTAGTAATGTTAACTTGACTTGAGAAACTAATAAACATGAAAATGATTATATTTATTTTTGTCACAATGGTTATCGTGATCAGTTGTGCACAATGTAGTTTACTCTTGATTGCATTATAATCCTTAATACTGATATTACTATGAATGAAACTTGAGAATAAAATAAATAAGATGTTAAAAACAACCTCAGCCGTAACCAAAAGCTATTATAGAAGTGTTGAAAACATCACAAGGTGGTGATTTCCATCCCATGCAGTGGTTTTACGTGTGAAGACATGCATTTTGATGAAAAGAGAAATTAGTATACCCGTAATTGCCCTGTTGTGAGAAGAAACACACAAACACTGCCGACTGCCATTGGTAAACCTTCAAAAGCACAGGTGATGTTGAAATATAAAATTTACCTTTATTATTAAAAAAAAAAACTTTAAACATTTATAATACAAAACTGTTTATGCTAAAGCCAATGCTAAGCCATAAGATGCCCATGTGCTGTGGAGCAGATAGATACAGCTTTCTTTTACGTTGTCACATATTGCGTACCCTGCAGCAAAGCCAAGCTACAGTGCCACTGAGCTACAGTACAACAACGTCTGCTGCAACATCGCAGCTTATGACCTGGGCAGTGTACGTGTGTGATTGGTTGTGATTGTGAGGTAGAGTAAGGAGAGCCAAGGGAAGGAGCAAGAGTTCATGCATGCAGGATGGGAGTAGATTTGTAATCGGGGTTTGAGGATGTGAAGAGGGTGAAGCTATTGTGGGGGGAATGGTTGAAGTAGTGCCGGATGGCGCTCTGACCAAAGTCCAGGGCAATGATGGCGTCTCCTGGCATTGGAGCTAACTGAGCTAACTCCTCAGGCTCCTCCTTGAGCTTAGTGAAAAGAATGTCCTCAGCTTCAGAAACGGGGGAAGCTCCACCCTGGCTGAACAGTTCTCCCATGTTACACATGTGGTAGGGCTTGAACAGAGACTCTGTCTGATCCAGGGAGAAGATGACGGACTGCTCCTCAACAGAACTGAAATATAACAACAGAATGAGAAGAATATCATAAAAGCATTAACTGTGACAGGGATCTGTGAGTGTGTCATTTAACACAGTACCTCAGGACGTAGTTGATGCAGATGATGCACTGTGGTTGGGAGTTGCGATTGTTGTAGATGACGGTCGCCTGGGTCTCCATCCAAACGTAGCCCCCGTGCTTGGCTAGCATTCTGTACTGGCCACTCACCACTTGACCCTTATTACAAACTGAAGAAGAAAACAGAGATTGTAACATGCACCAACATTTTGCATGTGAAGTATTTAAATATTTTCTTTATTTTTTCTTTAATGCTAATCAATTATGGTTAATCAACAACATTCAGTCAGGCACCTAAAAATGAGTTATTAATAATAATCATTATGTAATTTTTTGTTTAATTTCTGTTTAAATCAGGAAATTAGAATGATTTCTGAAGGATGATGTGACACTGAAGAGTAACGTCTGGTTGCTGAAAATTTATATTTGCCATCACAGAAACAATTTGCATTAAAAAATACATTAAAACAGAAAACAGTTATTTCATTTTACAATATAAATGTTTTAGGTGTATTTTTTATCACATAAATGCAGCCTTGGTGAGCATAACAGACTTCTTACATTTAAAAACGTAATTATTATTTCATTTTTATATTTAACCTTATAAGCATTCTTTAGACAATTTTAGTCAATTATACATATATATATAATTAAATAAAATGTAAATAAAACTCAGGCACAAAATATTTGCATTTTCACAGCATTTTGTAGCATGTAAATGGCGATATGAACGCAATAGTTTTAAAATGTGAATCAACCTATGTAAATGGCTTAAACTTAATACTGTCTTTGAATAAAGTCCATTACTGCATATCATGTAAGTTTAGTAATTTTTCAAATCAAAAGATCTTACTATTATGTAATACTCCAGGTACTTTTCACTGGAAGAGGCCAGTGAAGAAGACCAGAGCACTGATCTGGATTAAAGACATCAGAGGAACCAGATCAGAGGTGCTGCACACTTCAAAGGCTTGTTAGCCACTAATGCACAAGCTAATCAGGTGGGCCATCCTGAACAAGCAAATCTGAGAGCTTTTGGGTTGTTACAGATGAAGTCAAAGGACATATAATGGGATTCAGGCCATCTGCTCAGCCTCATCCTGTCATAATTGAGATTAAAAAGTCAAAATTATGACACACTAATCAAACTCATTACATAAAAGTAAATGTTTGTATTATTTTGACTTTTTATGTCATGATTACGAGTTAGTCATAATTTTGACCTTTATGTCATAGTGTCTTTTTATCTGAAAATTCTGACTTACAATGTCAAAATTTCATAACTTTTTATTTCATAATTATTGCTGTTTGTCAACTTTTTTCTCATAATTATGGCTTAGAATTTCATAATTGTCACTTTATATCTCATAATTCTGAATTATTAAATTTGATCTCATAACAATGTAACAAAAAATGTTCACTTAAATTTCTAAGTGAACTAAAATAAGTAATAAGTAATCTTAAGTAATCTTAAATTCTCTGTAATTCTGTGGTGATAATTATTATTGTACTGTTTACTTTCATGTAGCATCAATATTTTGGTAAATATTTAGGTCAGTAATCATTAATTATGAAACATTGGTTTAGTACATATAAGTTTTTGTACTCATTTTGCATGTTTTTAAAGATATTTTGCTTTTGCAAGGATAGCCGCATTCTCAAAATTTCAGTAACATTCAGTAATATTCTAGTGCTTTCTGGAACATTCCAGAACATTGTGGGACTAGTCATAAAAGACAAAAACCATCCAGCATACATTTCTGAAGTTTTGGACAACTCACCTTTGGTAACTGTTTATGCTGAACTGCTGTTAGCTCAGTATTATGCATGTACCATGTAATTTTTATGCATGAGTAATAACAGATTAGCTTGTATAAGTTGTCAAAAAAAAATTTATTGACACACAAAAATAATGTGATTCATATTCAGCATGGAAAACCTAACTGAGAAACAAGTGAAACAAAACTTTTACAAAAATTTGTTTTACTGTATAATTTTGACATTAGTCATACTTATGTCATATTATGATTTACCAAAGCATTCTTTTTTTCTTATGTGGCAGAAATGGGCTTCCATACATAAAAGAGAAAAAAATAGATTTTTTTCAAACTGTTTTAAAGGTAAGAACTACTGTATACGATAGATTTCAGTTCTTGGGAGGCCAATTTTAAAAGCAAATTAGTCGAAAACATTAAATGTAGAGTCTACGGCATCTGTTAAGTAAATAAATAATGCAATGCAACAACCATTGAGTTTATAAATATCCCTTAACAATTCCTGGAGCCCAGCGGGACATCTGTTTCCCTCAGTCATCAAGCCCATGGGAACGCCTCAGGTCTACAAGGTTTTGAACTCAAGCAGTTTACCCATGGACAGAGATGAGAGGCATGGATCTATTCCAGACCGTGAGTCATTTCAGGACGGAGTCGAGATTGATTTAAAGATAGGTAAATTAGCCAAAACGGCTGAGACCTCGACATATTCACACAATGAGCTACTGCGTTGTTTCTCGTGAGTTTGCACCAGCGCATGAAATGGAGGTACGAAGAACGAAGAAAACAAAGAAAACTGAACATGTGTCTACCCTATGGCTTTTTTTTAGACAGGCATCTCCAATTCAAATCTGTTTAGTCTTTTCAAGTCTAAACAGAAAAAGACCACATGAAACCCAAATTGTGTTTTCATAACCTCCTGGATTTGCGTTTGTTGGATGTAAACAGGTACTCACGATTTTGGTGGCTCTTTGTCATGCTTTCAGAATCCAAAGCATGGCAGAACTCATACACCGAACGGCCAAGAAGTTCCTCTGGCATATAACCGATCAGGCTGCTTACTCTGAAACACAAAGACAGGTCAAGAATAAAACTAATGGAACAGTCAAAACAAAGCGTGATTGAATTAAACCAAGATTCATGACTGTCGATTACATCTGGTGAAAACAATCAAACTTGTGCTGCTGGGAGCCAATGTAAACTCTCTGCGTAGCTTAGTGAGAACAAATGATTACAAGCGGGACCCTTGTTTATTGGAGCTATACATCTCTCGAGCAAGACATTTGTACTTGTTCTGTCTGATCATTATCTTTAATGCCTGTTTTCCAACTTGCTGGATTAAAAGACAGAACAGCTCTCAAGTGTCAACACATTTTTTGAAACTAGGTTTTTTTTGTTTGTTTTTGAAGCACTTTAGCAAGTGCAAGATTGAAGACAGATGTGGGCTTGTCTATTAATCACAGCGGAATTTTTTGCAATGCTCAATATCTTCACCAAATCATTTTTTGTGCTGATGTTTCCATGCAAACTCATGCAATTGTTATTTTTCTTCTAATTGAACCTTCAGTTTTACCCTGGAATAGCCTCTCATTTCCTGTTCCAGTATGGGCTTTTAATGAACTCCGTGCGGTCAATAATGAGTCCTATTAAATGGAAGCACGCAAATATCTGACCTAATCTGTTAACCCTCCTTACAACACATCCACTGTAGTGTAGCCACAGTAACCTGCTTTTGCACTAGAGTACATACGGCAGATCCCAGGGGCCACAGGTGACCAGGCACTGAGAAGAGCAGCACCGGCCCCATAGCGCCAGGGGACTTACTAACTCCCCTGGCTTGTTATACAAGACGTGTAAGAGAAGTCAATTGTGCCCTTTAGGAACTTTCCATAAATGAAGCTAATCTAAAGAGAAAAGCTCATAATCACTCTTGCTTTACCACACAGTAGCACAACAGGATTTTGATAAGAGTTCCCAATAGTGAACTTTGAAACGCACATATTAACTCACAAATGCTGCTTAGCTATGCTGACATAAGCACAAAATAAAACAATGGTAAACACGGTTTGTTTACAAACGATACAGTGACCTCAAATGAAATATAAACATATAAAATATAGTTTTAGCAGATATACTGTACACATAAAATCTTCCAGACAAACAGACTGTAAATATTGATGACTCATCCTGAACGGCACAGATTCTTGTCCAATCAAATGGTCTCTAGAGTGAGAATGTCCCTCCCCCTCAAACCACCTGCAATTGATTGGCAACTAGCAAATAATGATTCATGGCTGTAGATTAAAGTAAAATGAGCTTTATAAAGCTTTTAGTTAATAAATAATAAATAAACTTCCAGATTTAATAGGAAGTACATCAACACAGGAAAAAAAAAACTAAATGTGATCATCAAGCAATTTAACGGGGTCTAAAGTTGATAATATATTTCCATTATATAACAAAATACCAAACCAAGTGGCTTTTATTTTAAAGACAGCATAAGCACAAAGAGAAGTTTATTAGTTTCTAAATTACAAAATAAATAAATGTACAATTCAAGATTAGAAGTAAATAAAAAAAGACACTACAAAAATTTTGAAGAAAGGTTAAGTTGGTTTACGTCTCATTTGCTTACGGATGCCTTCAGGTTTTGTATAAACATTTTATATCTAATTAAATGAAATTCATAGATTTTTGGTAGCTTTTATGTCTAAATTCGTTTTGGGCCCACTATTCATGCACACACACAAGCACATGTACAATAAGCACGTATTTCAATCAGTGAACCATTTCTTGCCTCTCATCACAGTAGATAAACTTCATGTCCATACTGTGTCTGCTCATGAACGTCTTGCTGTCGAGAGGTGTGTCGACATTTGAGGGATGTGGAATCGGCGCGCACAGCATAGTGACGCATGTGAGGGGTGGCTCTGAAAACCCACACAGGACTTGAGGGGGGCGGCTGCTGCACACTTGGAGATGCCCCGTGCAATGCAGCACCTGACAGACAGAGCGGCGACACCATATTTTACTTAGCACATGCACATATGCGCTGCATGAAGATGTATGATATGCTTATGTGTTCTTACCTTCCAGCTGGCTGATTTGAGGTTGACAGTGCGACCTCTATTGGTGACCGTACATTTCATCCTCATAAAGAAATCTCTGCCCGTGCTCATGTCTCTCCCTCTTCTGCCATACACAGGTCCTGTCAATCAAACAACTTGTTCTTAAAAATCATGTATTTATATAATTGACCATTGTGCAAGCAATAAAGCTTTTTTCTAGCACATTCAGAGGACTTTGGTCTGTAAGTGGGTCGTGGACGCAACAGGTGCAAAGTTCAACTGAATCAGTCTGTTGAAACCTTAACTACAGTATATTGAGTTCTCTATGCTATTGCATAGGGATTATCTCCAACTGACCAATGAAATGGCAAGAAAGTTACGTCACTCGCTCAAAAGCTCTAAACGGGTCAGGTGACCAGCTTGTGAAAGATACAGACAGATAAAACAAGAGGAGGAGAAACATTCGCTGTGGGGAAAGGCCCCCTAACTCTCATTCTGAGTATGTGTCTGTGTGCAAGCACACGCTGCTTACATGATAGCAACAGAAATAGTAACTTACTGAAACTAGGCCAGAGTAAAGGCTAAGTTCACACCAAGTTTGGTGCAAAAAAATGAAACTACTCAAATTTAGTCTGCTGAATTCCTACCATTGCCTACAATGAATATGAATGCTGAATTAATTCCTGATTAGGCCCTGGCTACAGTCCTGTATGCTTTTAAAAAGCTATGAATCTCATTGTCTTGTTATTTCTTTTCTTGAAATGAAACTGTAATTAAAATTCAACAAAAAGAATAATACAAAAATAATAAAACTGAGTAAAACAATTAAAGGGGTCCTATTATGCTTTTTCACTTTTTTAATATTAGTCAGTGTGTAGTGTGTATGTTTGGGCATAAAAAAGATCTAGAAAGTTACAAATCTCAAAGTCCACTCCAAAGGGAGATATTTCGTTTTTTAAACATCCCTTTTCAAGAACTACAACGAATGGCTCGTTTGGACTACATTTCCGTTTGGCTCGTTTCCGGGCTTTGTGATATCACAAAGCGGCCCATTAGAATATCAAGCATAATAGGACCCCTTTAATAGCATTATTACAAAAGTAATATATTATCATTTTTATTTTTGTAATATATGTAATCTTACATTTTTAATAACAACAATAATTTAATGTTATGATTATTATTTTGCTTTATTGATATATAATCAATTTAAATATATTGAAATATAATTTTTGGCCAAATTGTGCAGCCATACAAACAATCATACCAAACCTGGAGCTCTTTAAAATATTTTAAAATAAAAAAATTATTAATTTAATTAAATCAAAAATCATATTTTAAATTGCAATCACAATTTTTTTTTTATATAAAAAAAAAATCTCAATTAATTTTTTTTCTCCAAATTGTTCAGCCTTAACAAAATAGGGGGAAAAGGCCTCTACATAAGGGACGTTAAAAAAAGGGGGACTTGTCCTCACAGGAACCACTACAAGAATGTACAAAATGTAACATCCTGACTGTGTGATAAGTGCTTTCAGATAAGTCCTTCTCCATGGCAAATTACATCCAGAGATAAAGAGGACTGGAAGATTCTGCCATTTTGATTTTAAATGCAACAGTGTATTCAAAATATCCAAGTAAAAAAAACTGTATCGACGTACTTCTGGGAAATATTGTTCTGAGCTGACACTCACCTGATTTGACACTGAGATTCTCTCGGATTTCTTCATGATCGCAGGGGTGCGTGAAGTCAAAGATGCTGTGGCCTGTCAGTTCTACCTGATAACAGTTTGTAAGGGAAGTAAAGTTGAATGCTTAGCCACTATAAATGAATTATCAGAAGGCTTTTATGTTTTCTCCCTGTAATTATTCTCAAGAATAAAGGAAATGAGGTGAGGCTCACCTGCGTAAGGCCCATACATTTTCTGACGTTTTCTGAAAGGAATATCATGTCCCCATCTGATGTTACCACAGCGACAAAGCCTTCCAGAGACTTTAGATATAGACTGTCCTTCTGGCTGTCATCCTGTGACTGGGTTTGCTGGACTGTGCGGCCTGGGACAAAAGACAAGACAACTTAGTATAGTGCAGTGACTTTTTAGTAATTTTACACTGGCGAAGCATCAAAACAAACTCAAGGGACATAGACTCATATCCTGTACCATTTAGCTAGAAGTAAACAACTCAGATTCAGCTAAACCAACTTATTTATCAAATGAAATTCACATACCAACATGGAATAAAAACAAGCTATTGAGCTGATCAGCAAAGAGAGGATGTTTGAGGTACACAATGCCATGAAAAGCAACAACAACTTGAGAAAATAATTAAAGCAAGGCTCCATGCTGTGAGGTTCACGTCTGCTTCCCTGCAGATAAGGGCCTCCTCCCTGCTCATTCAGATCAGGTAATAAGGGCCCGAGCGCTGAGGCTTTGACCCAGCTCAGACATCAGAACTGTGTGTCCGCATTGTGCGTTTGGGTGTCAGCAGGTGGTCCATGTCTGCGCTCCCACCTCAAACCCCACAGCATTCGTCCCGGTGCTATTAATACTTCACTGTGATGTCTTACTCCTTTGGCTCTCAGCCAAACACAGGAACTCGCAATTTTCTGCCATTCTCTGTCCATCTCTATTAGAATCATTTAGGCCTTTTCTGGTCATTAACAAGGTTCTCTGACAGTCTGCACAGCGACTGCTCTTTCATGTCTCAGGAAGTTATGTTTCAACTATCAACTTTAGCTCAGAAGTTTCTCCTAAAGGTCCTTAGGGAAAATAAAAATTGACATCCACTACTGTTCAAAAGATCAAGGTCTGTGTGTTTAAAAAAAAAAAAAATTTATAGTTTTATAGAATAAGGATGCATTTAATTGATCAAAAGTGACAGTAAAAACAGTTATAATACAAAATATTTCTATTTGAAAAAAAAGTATCATGGTTTACACAAAATATTAAGCAGCAGAACTGTTTCAACATTGAAAATAATCAATTAACAATCAATTACAGCACACCTGCAGGTAACAGATAGGTGCGTAGGAAAAAAAGACAAAAAAAGTTTTAAAAAAAAGAAAATCCTGCACACTACCAATACTTGCAAAAGTATCAAAAACAATTATTTATTGACAACGTTGAGACCGAAACAATAATTAGACCAAAACGTTGTCAATAAATTATTGTTTTTGATACTTTTGCAAGTATTGGTATTGTGCAGGATTTTCTTTTGTTTCTTAACATCGATAATAATAAAAAAATACATACTTATTAAGTGCTAAATCAGCATATTAAGCTTTGCCATTGCACAATAAATTACATTTTAAAATATATAAAAATTATAATAAAAACATTATAATGCATACATTTTTCATTATAACATCATAATAAAAAACACTTGGACCCTTCTTTACAGGATTTTCTGTTGAAAACGACCACTTGAAAATGAGACTCCAGAAGCAAGAGATTTGAGTACAAGTCTAGGAGTTGTTAAAGAGATTTCAGTTGTGATTTTTCGTTTTGACATGAGACATCTTCGGTTCATCTGTTTTGGGCAATTTGATAATGAGGGTTCAAAGATTCATATCTTCAGAAGGATGCTTGCTGGAAATTCAGGATATAATATGATGCCCCAATGTTTAAACAATGTCTCCTCTGAGGAAAGTTCAAAATGTCAGACAGGTCAAACATTTGGTTCAGATGAGAATCATAACCTTGTTAACACCTATCAGTAATATTATGATTCTATGACTATGCAGTTATAGTTCCCACACACCTCACCGAATGACATATCAGTTTTCTGGTTTTGTAATCTCGGGTCCTTTTACAGGTCAAAGCATGACACAGAAAAACATACAACACACCGAATATCACAGACAGGCCTGCACGGCGCCATCGAAGAGAGTGTTGTGGCTAAGAAAAGAGTGTGAGAAGAAATCATAATTCACAGAAAACAATAACACTAGCAGCCCCTAATTACCCCACACCTCGTCATCTCCCTCTTTCCCTGTTTCTCCATGTCCATCGATCTTCCCACACCCACTTCCACATCACCCACACCCACACACATTTTCATCAGCAGATTCCATCTCTTCCCTTTTCATTGTTTGATGCTCTCTCTCTCTCTCTCTCTCTCTCTCTTTCAGAGACATGCACACTATACACACTATAATACTGTACACATGCATGTGCGTCAGGAATGGAGTATGGAAACAATGCGCAGTGCTCTTAGTCTGTCTTCCTACATTTCTTATTGTATATTGAGGAGTACAGGACATCTCATGGACCTACCCAGCCCAACTTCACTGACACATAAACATGTTTACTTAGCTGTATAAATGAGGACACACCACAGACCTCTACTGAGTTTAGGTAAAAAGCTAATCATAATTACTACAGACTAACCTGAACCAATTTTGAATTTTTAGTATAATATTTTTAGTATAAAACAACATTATTTTATTTATAAATGATCTTTTTAAAATCATTTATTTTGAAAGAAACTAATACTTTTATTTAGCAAGAGTGTTTTAGGCAGTAAAGGCAATTAAAATGTTACAAAGATTTCAAATAAATCTTGTTCTTTTGAACTTTCTATTCTTCAAAGAATCATGAAAAATGTATCATGGTATCATCCAATCTATCATCTATATATATATATATATCAGCATCACAAGCATTGATAATAATAAGAAAGATTTCTTAAAGACCAAATCAGCATATCAGAATGATTTATGAAGGATCATGTGACACTGAAGACTGGAGTAATTATGCTGAAAACTTAGCTTTGCAATTATGGGAATAAATTACATCTTAAAATATATTAAAAGAGCAAATTATTATTTTAAAACCCCAAACTTTTGAACAGTGCGTACGTGGCAATAATGTAGATATCAATATGTAAACTAGCTGCCATGGTGACGAACCACTTCCTATAGTTTTTCAGGCACAACGCTTTTTTTTGGCAAAACACCACAAGTGCTTTCTAATGCGTCACATATTATAACCAGTGTTGGGGAAAGTTACTTTTAAAAGTAATGCATTACAATATTGGCATTTTTTTATTCATTTTGAGGAATACTGAATCTGTGTTTTGTTATGTTTTTTTTGTGAGTGAGATGAATTAATGCATATTCATATTTATTTTAGAACTACAGTAACATCTTCTGATTTCTCTCAACATGGGGACAGGAGAGCTGTCAATCAATAAATTGGGGGGAAAAAAGTAACTTGCGTTACTTATTTGAAAAAGTAACTCAGATATTCTCTTGTAAATTAAAAAGTAATGCGTTACTTTACTAGTTACTTGAAAAAAGTAATCTGATTACGTAACTCGCATTACTTGTAATGCGTTACCCCCAACACTGATTATAACACACTAACACAGATACCAACACACGTGGCTTGCGTGCAGCGCTAAGTTTCAGTGTCTATGGGAGGTCGATGCTGAGACCAGGATCTAGCGGTGTAATTCCAGTAGCAGCATCCCAGTGTGGGTCCCCTATTCCCCGGCTCAGGTCAGCCCGGCTCTGGGAGTGTTTGTAAAATGTGCACAGCGTGGTGCGGGGGCACAGGAATGCCATAATTGGCCCTCTATTATACAGCTGCATATTTGGCAACCACAACATGCCCCCTTTCTACCCTCCCACTACCCCCATTTTCACAAAAAATTTGTCATTGTAATAGTAACTATGGATTCTTTTCGCAGGAAATGGCTGATCAGAGGTCAAACTCATGGGACTTATGCATGAATTTACTGTCTGCATCTCCTTGGGGCTAAATGAGGAATGGCAACTTCCATTTCAACTTAAACTGTTACTGCTTTCTGTCTCTAAACATAAGCAAAACCACATTGGGGTTTTAATGAGAAGAAATCATAACCTCATAATCACAACCTTAACCATCTTCAAGAAACGACTAAAAACACATCCGTTCCACCTTTATTTGACCCTCTAACTCTAGCACTTTCTATTCTATTTTAATTCTACTTTATCTATATTTATCTTCTTTTTTTGATTAATAAAAAACAAAAACAAACAAACACTAGCTTTCTATTTTTTCTATTCTATCTACTTGTTTTTCTTTGTGTGTGTGTGTGTATGTGTGTGTGTATGTGTGTGTGTGTATATGTGTGTGTGTATAATATAGATATATATATATATACACCTTGCTACGTGTACTGCGTTAGGCTAACCGAGACTTGTCATTTGCACTTATATATTGTTGCTCTTTTGTTAGTTAGTTCTGCTTTTATTGTCCTCATTTGTAAGTCGCTTTGGATAAAAGCGTCTGCTAAATGACTAAATGTAAATGTAAATGTAATGTAAATCAAGTGCAGCTCTAAAAATATAAACACAATGATGGTTCAATAAATGGGAAAAGATAATGCAGACTCATCTAGAGTTCACGTGTTCATTACATTCATTTGTGAGAAAAAAAGAGTGATTGTCTTCCGTGACAACAGAATGATGACCTTCCAGAGTTTAAGTGCTTAAATTTCAGGGACATTTTTTTTTTTTTACAATTTTTTTAACTATTTTTGTTACATCAATGAAAATAGTTCCTTTCAAGCCAAAACAGAATCAAATGCTCACATCTTTGAAAAAAAAAAACCACACCATTTTGAAGTTTCATTCTAAACAGATTGGTATTTTAAACAAATCAGTTAAGCAAACAATTCTACGATTCACTTATAAGGACAGTTGTTATAAGCTACTTATTTCATTGCTGAATAAATCGGTGGTGTGAACGAATCAGTTAAGTGAATGATTAAATGACAAAGGCAATCACTTGTCACCACCTACTGGCATATCAATGTAATCTACCTGTTGCATAATCATGGTTAAAATGCTTAAAAAAGCAATCAGCATGCATAATTGTATATAACTTGTAGGCTACATAAAGAAAAATCTTCTCTCACAGCCAGCTGAAATCAGTAACCATCACCCAATGCATGAGCTCCTAGCTTATTTTTTCAGAAACACAATCCAGATCTACACTGCACAAACACCCCTTGGACGTGAGCTGAGCGTAAGGTTTATCTCTCTTCAGAGATGTAGTTTTTACAAACCCTTTGACTGCATTCTGGCTGGATTCAATCCTTCAAATGAAGGGGAGTTGTGTCCTCTGCCCTCTAGGCTACTGAGTTCTGTTCCCACACAGTCCAGCTGCTGACCTCAACCCCCAGCTACGCTACAAACGCTTTCGACATTAGCTGGCTAAACAACTTCTGAATTAGAAATGCGCTACAGGGCAAGGTAGCCTGAAGACGGAGGCCTGCTGGCCGTTTTCGCCTCTTTGTCCTCTCTTTTGTGACCTTTTCATCATTCGTGGCATTACTGGAACAAAATGACAAGACTGACAGCTATGTAGCCACTCCCACCTGTAGTGTTCTTTACGCTAAAAGTGTCAGTCAGGCTCTCAACAGGAGTATAGTCTGTATTTCAGCGAGAGATCTCAAGGGAGATTTGCGTGAAACAGAGCTGTCTTGGTTCCTAAAGCGTACATAACGACCTAGCAAACACAATGGTGAGACTGCTGTACCTATCACCTACTGCCTCAGGCATCATCACGCACAACCAAAGCAAAAGCTGTCAAAGGGAGCAGATCATGTGATTAGCAGGCCGATGTGAACCCATTCCTCCCTCTATCTCTCTCTGCATCTCCCCTCTCAACCAGATTAGGCCAGAGTTCACCGAGAGCCAAGAGCCAGACTGTACAGAGTGCCCATTCACTACAGATAATCCTATTTTCCCTAACCTCAAAGAAATGGCCAACCTTTAGTTTCCCAACTAATAATCCAGTGAAAGATTCAGTGTTAAACAGAATATGATAACTAAACCTTCTGTATTGCATACATTACATTGTATATTCCTTCTGTGCAGCAAGCTTTGATAGATGTCATTAAAACAGCACAGTTAAATGATTACATTACCGACTGGCGCTAATTACAAAAGACATCATAGTGTTAATGAAACACTTGTAGAGCAAGTTAAACAAACCAGATAAGAGATAAGAATTGGATAAATTGATGGAAGAAACCAGAGTAGGGAAACATAATGTCCTGTTCACGCATGAAAAAAAGAGGTGAACCCTAATCTGATTACCTTAGTTTCAATTGGAACATTACGTCCCCATTAACAAGCCACCGAGAACTACACAGAGGAACATTTAACTCCTCTTCAACAAGCCTTAGGCATCAGAGCCAGTGTTGGCTTATTTTACCACCAAATCAAAATGCTGTCAGTACCTGGCAAAATCTGACTTATGAATGTCATCCATGCAGATCAACATGACACAATTTTCCCCAAAAGACAAATGCAGATTTATGACAACAAATATATAAATCCTTAAATAGGGTTGTATCCTAGGGGATAAAGACATTTGAGTGGCCAGGGTAAAGACAGTGACTGAATTGGCACAATTTCTGGCTAGAATATCTGAAGGGGAAATACTAAAGTCAAGTGACTTGGTATAAAATCTCTAAAAAGTAAGAGTAACATGGCAGCATGGCATGTAAAAGGTAAATCATGTAAAAGATAAATATTTTACATGTTATTTTCATGATGATAGAATTTGTAAAATTTCAAAATAATGCAGCGTTTTCAAGAAAAAAAAAATATTATTTGAGTCCTAATGTGTTTGGGGGGGAAATATGAGGTATTAATAATAGTTAGGTATCAGTAAAAAAAAAAAAAATTTTTTTTTTTACTGCAACAGAAACAAAAGATAATAGTGGTTATGTAATAATTTAATAATGTAATAATTTTTACTCAGGTTAGATAAAATATCACAATAGCCATAATAAATCTGAATATTTGAAACAACTGTAAAAAAAAAAAAAAAAAAAAAAAAAAAAAAAAAAAAATTATTTCCCTGCAA